GGCATCGATTCAAAAATGGCTGTTCAGTTCTGCACAATATATGCAAGTATTATAGCCTGCACTACACTTCTTTGTAAGGTGTTTACATTGTTTATTGCAATGACGTGATGCAGCAGACACTTCTGTGAACTGTGAACTGCCCATTAGTTCATTTCACACGAAATCATAAAAAGAAACCATAACTGTTCTGCAATTTATAAATGTATTTGCAAAGCAGAAATAAAAAACCTGCACTTTTGCACCACAATGTTGTGGGCGGTAAAGACTTCTGTAAGACTTATTTTTTAATAGCTGAGAACTATATTAAGAAATGCAGAGAGGTGCAGTGAAGTGCAACTAATGCGTTTAAAATGTTTTAACGCTTTTTCTCTACTTAAAAGCTACTTATGGAATTGACTCGTAACAATACATTATCGATTCAAAACTGCATTTTCATGAATATATCCTGACACAGCTTTAAGAATATTTTAAAACATTCTCAAATTTGAAATTTTAAAACTTAACGATATTTTTCCTCCACCTAACTTCTGTGTATAAAAAACAAGTTACAATGTAAAGATTTCCACAATCACATTAATAAAATTCCCGAACGGATTAAATGTGTCTGTAAAGAAAAGCTTTCCTTTTGTCTTCCTAAAGTTATACCACTTTCCCAAGCCAACATACATGACCATATTAATGTAAAAAAATAAAAAGTAAATGGTTAACTGGAAAACCTATTATTTAAAATAAATAAATGCATTAATTAATCAAATTAAAATAGAAAAATGAATAATAATTGCATTAAGAAAATTCAACAATAACATTTATTCACTTACGTTTATTAGGCATTACATTATATCACTTATCATCTTCCATAGTTTAGATTTACCTTCAGAATCAGCATGAGGAAAATTCATGAGCGATATTTTTTAATTCTCTTTATAAACATCTGTTGCAAAACAAAATCCTTACATTGACCTTAATAAAGTCCATCAGAGAACAAAATGAGTTGTTAAAGAAAAGTTTTCTTTCTTTTTATTATATATATATATATATATATATATATATATATATATATATATATATATATATATATATATATGGTGCGATGGATAAATTGTCGTCTAAATGACGAAAACAAAAAATGAAAATAACACTGACATCTCATTTTATCAGATATATTTATCAAAATTACCACCATTGGCTTCAGCCACAGCCTCCAGACGACATCGTAATCTCCTGCAATTCTTCTGGGCGGTCTCTTTGTTTAAATTGGTGAATGCTGCCATAATCCTTGCCTTCAGTTCATCTTTGGTGTTACAAGGAGTTTTGTTGGTCTCTCGCTCAATTGCACTTCCACACATAATAATCAAAGGGGGTGCAGTGTGGGAAGTTAGGTAGCTAAATGTAAGGGGTGATGTAGTCGCAGAAATTGACTGGGTTTCCTGCTTGTATGTCAGGGTGCAGAGTCCTGTTGCCAAACATAGGATATTTCAGCAGCCACCCTCTTGACCCAGGGCAGCACTATTACCTAAAGGCACTTGATGTAGGCTTCTGTGTTGAGCCTGAGGCCCATGCCAACAAATTTGGGAGTTCATTTCTTATCAGAACGATCAGAGTGAGTTTTCCGAGCTGCTGTATCTTCGTAATCACCATTAGACTCATCCAACTCTTTCCAAATCTTCTATACTACTCTCATATTGACATCCAAACATTCTGTTTGTATTGAAGCCTCCGGAGCGAATGCCAAACAGTACAGCATGTCATGTCCAAATTTTTGGCAGAGTGAATTGAGTCATGGTACACTTTTTCTCACAGACAGTGCCCAATTGCCCTACTGTACTGGCCATTCGACAAAATTAAAAACAAACAATGCGCATGCGCGAAATTAAAAATCTAAAATGGCGATAATTTACCCATCCTACCCTGTATATCTATGTCAATACCGAAACAAACCATTTGATATTTTGGTAGACTAGGTCGCTCTTCCTTGTTTTCCATATTCATGTCACCTATCCCGACTTTTCTTTTTCTAAATTGCTTTATCTGATTTGCTTGCTATCCCACCCCAAACAAAAACAACTCTGGTGTGGATGAATATATTTAACAATCTCAACCCAAGAGTTCGAAATAATTTGATTGAAACTTCTTTTTTAAGATTAAAAATGTTGGAAACTTGATTAACAAACCATCATCGCTTTCTGATTGCAACAGAAACTAAGTTCTTTATTTGAGCAATCTTACGTACTTCATGTCAAAACCCTTTTTTTTTTAATTCATTCCACATACTGTCTGAGTGTGCGTGTATATTAAATACGCGCATGTCTGTGTTCTGTGTGATTTACATGCGCTTGTGTCATTTGAATGACACACAAAGACATACACACCATACCCAACTTTGAAATATGACATTAGAATAATACCTTCCATCTCTCAGTCAGTCTGGACAGCTAGTACCATTGGCTGAACAATAACATCATAACATTGGAGACAAGGAAAAAGAATCTTTAAATCCGAAAACAATCAAATAATTATAAAATTTTATTGTAATTTTTCAGACATTATTCGATAATAAATGGAAATATTTTAAAAGTTTTGTAAAAATATTTTTAGGTTTGTTATTTTTTTAATCATTTCATCCTAAACAAGGTGATATTGACACTAAGACGTTGGTTTACCGGGTGTGAAAGGAGAAGACTTTAGGAGAAGGAACCAGAAACCAAATCCTAAACATAAATCAAGGGATAAACCTCTACTCCTGAGCAAATGACCTAGTTGGAGTGTGAACCGGTCGATACTTGAACCTATCTACTTCTTGAATTAAAATATATATGGACACACTCTAAAATACCTACACACACAATATCAATGAAATTTAAATGAATATATATATACTGCGAAGGTTAATTTCTCTTTTCGTCTGACAACAATCCCTGGGTAACAGGAAAAGAGTGTAAACCAAATTGTTCGGCCCTTTCAAGTAATTTTTATGACTCGTATTTAAACTGAATATATTTTTTTAATATAAATAGACTTTTAATAAATATAGTATTTTAGATGGTTAAACAATTTAGATTTAAAATTTAATCGTCTTGTTGTCTGCGAAACGACAGGTACCGAACTCGTAAAAATGGACTGAGAAGTTCTTTATGGCCGAATGATCTGAAGCACATCGTACTAGACAGTGGTTTCCTTTACAAAATCGGCTTCACAGGTTATCTTTAATAAGACAGACAACCCCTACCCTGGGACGAACAATAAAGTTATGAAGTCAGCGACAAGAAAAGTAAAAAGAAAAAAAAAATTCTTTTTCAACCCTAAAAACATAACATAATCATAAAATTATTTTTGAACGTTCAGAAATTATTCGATAATTAAAAAAATGTTTTTAAAACTTTTTAAAAAATGTCCGAGAAATATTTTTCGATCCGTCATTGAATTAAAATACACATATTTATACATACAATTTGAATGTAACTGAAATGGATATCTGTGTCGCTAGGATTAATTTCCCTTTTATGTCTGCCAACAACCCTTGGGTAACGAGAAAAGTGTATCTGCCGGGCCTTTAAATACATATTCTTAACTCCTGTATGGGTGTATTTTCTTGTAAATGTTGTCGAGGGTGCGGCTAAAATACCGCTAATACCAATAATGTCTTACCATTATATGGGAGGTATTTCTGTCGCACGCTGTATTTTAAATAGACAAACAATTTAGATTTGAAATTAATTATCTTGTCAACAGTGAAGCGACATGTACCAAACGAGTTACAAATATTTCGAAAAGTTTTGAAGTGTCTAAAAAACGGAGAGAAGAAATATGCCAAGTTTTTTGCTTTTGTCGTTATAAGTTCTGTAAACAAGTTCTTGCTAAGTACGAGTTATATTCTATTTGAAAAAAAGATTATAGCAATTATCCCAAGATGAATGCAGAAAACTCAAATTTAATAGCATGTATTTTCATTGTAATTTTTCAAAAAATACTGCAAAATTTAAGATCAGATTAACATCTAGATATAATTCTCAGCATAAAGGGAGAAAGAAGCCTTTGTAGTGGCGTATCTAGAAAGCCACGGTGGTTTAGCAATAACCTATCTACAAAGTATGATAAGTACGGCATGTGCCATGGGCGCCACTTGGGGGGACGCCATGATGCCACTGAACCTATTTAATTAGAAATCAAGCACTAAATCATCTTGCAACATTCGACACCGACAGTTTTCGTTGTCGAATGTTAAGAGCTAATTAAATAAATGTTATTTCCATAGAAAATACGTCTAAGAAATGCATATCTTTAAGCTTCTATGGGCACCTCGACATGGTGTAATGGTTAGCACATTTGCCTCGCTAGATCAATTACGACTGAACAGTGGGTTCGATCTTGACTGGGTTCTCCAAACCTTCGGCCTTGTTCCACATCTAAGCTACGCTTAGAAAATCATTTGGGGTCACTTCGACGTGGTGTAATGGTTAGCAAGCGTGTCTTGATAGATCAATTACGACTGAGTCGTGAGTTCGATCCTCACTGGGTGCTACACACTTTCCGCCTTGTGCTACGCCTTGAAAATTACCATTATATTTAGTAATATCTTTATGCTATAAACTTGTGGGGATTTTTTTTTTCAAGCAAATATAAATATACTCATAAGAGCCTAAAAATAAACCCTTTAAGTTTGATTCCCTAAATTATTTCGGACTCTGCATGCCATTAACCCTTTTTGGTTGCGGGTGCTTCTTTTTGGTGGTGGGTCCCAACCTGTGCGATTGTTCATTGTACTACCTGCTACTATTTGTATACCACAGGGGATTTGTCCGCCGCGCAATAAAAAAAAAAAAAACGGGACTAAAATGGCCAATTGTGCGCCAAGAAGAAGATGAACATCATCAGTAAGGACTTTAAGTGCGCGGCGGGACGCTAGGGCAGCGCGAAAGATTATTAGCACTTGTGTTAGTAAGGGGAGGACCCGACCCCTTATTACTTCAAAGGACGTCTCCAACTCAGTCGCACGTAGTACAATGGGCAATCGTACAAGTCGTTCACCCAGTTTTGTTGCTCATTTTGCAGGTTCCACCGCAATCACAACAGGTCGCGTAACCATGCAGCGATCCTCTAAAGGTGTCATCTCCATTGCCGAGGTTGACAACGGCGGTCGCTACGTCACACTGGAAAACACCAGCACAAGCAGAATGAAGAGAGTAAGTTGAAACAATAAATGTTATCATTTCTGTCTTTTTACAAAGAAATAAAAACGCTTAGACGATTTGAGTAAATATTTCTAGAAAACAATATTTGATAAACATGTGATTGATTTTATTGACAGTTTTGACATTATTTTTGACATTTTTATGTTTCATCTTACTTGACGGTTGCCGATTCGACAATTTTTAATACATTAACATAAAACTTTAGATGACATGAGCCTCCCCTCTCAACTAGCCTCTCACAGGTGAGAGGCTTGGTGAAAGGCTAGACTCTCATCTAGCCTTTCATCAAGCCTCTCACCTAACCTTTCACACAGACTCTATAGCCTTTCACCTTATCTCTCACCCAACCTCTCACATAGACTCTCACCTAGCTTCTCACATAGACTCTCATCTAGACTGTCACTTAGTCTCTCATCTAGTCCCCCGTCTAGCCTCTCGCCTGCACTCTCACCTAGACTCTCATCTAGCCTCCCACCTAGATTCTAATCTAGCCTCTCACCTAACCTCTTTACTATCCTCGCACTTAGACCTTACAGCTCAATGGAGGATTTTTCTCCAGTCCTGATAAACAATTCTTTTCTTGTATCTTCCTTTGTACGTCTTCTGGGGACTCAGAGCTCAAGGGCTTACGACCATATCATCTTGAATCATCCTTTCTCGTAGGATCACCGAAGTTAAGCAACGTCCAGGTCTGGTCAGTACCTAAATGGTTGACTGCTTGTGAATACCAGGTGCTGTAAGCTTGGATGTGCGGGTAGCGCAATGGATGAAGGCTTGGAATTGAAAATCTGACAGCCGAGTTCCAATTCTAGTTAAAGGTTGATAAGCCGTAAAAAGCAAATCCATAAACAAGACCTCAAATGGAACACATGTACGGACCATCGCTAAAGATGTTGTAAAACTGTCGTTTTCTTGTAGTGCTACAGAAAGTACCTGTCTTCTCCTATTCTAAATTTATAAGACTCAGACCAAAAATAGAGTATTTTTCAAGACACGGCCCAAGAGCCACTCAAGGTAGAGGGTTACTTTGTGGATATATATTAGCGTAGGAAAGGACAAGCATTAGGAGCACACAGCTGAAGCAGAATGAACCGGAAAGCCAATTTTAAACCGGAAACAAGGAATAAACCACTACTCCTGTTCAAAAGACCAGCGAATCTATCTGCTCCTGAAGCTACTCCACTCTTGAAAGTTCAAAGGCGTTTACGCGGCCTTGTGGGTGATAAGTGATTTCCCATCCTAATATCCTTCCCACAGATAAAATGTTGCTAGCGTCTAAATACTCTGTCATTATTTTCATGACATATGTTCAGTCGAACTATATTCCTTAGTTCCCCAATTTCAAACACCTTCACAGCTAGGACCCGCACGTACACAAGGTTGACTCATTCTCATTCCCTTCGTATTCCATTGGTAAGGAGGAAGTTTCACTCAGACAGCTTCTTTCCCAGAACTGTTATGTTGTGGAACAGACCCCCGTGAGGATGCTTCCCCAATCACTACGATCTTAACCTCTTCAAGTCTAGGGTCAACCGTTATCTATCCTACATATCTTCATAACATTTACTCCTACCGTTTACGCCTTTACAGCTATCTCATCTACTAAGACTCTACTTTGTTTGGCTCTTGAGCCTTGCATTGGATGAACAATAGAATAAAAAGACGAGTTTATATGATTAGATTCATTTTGAACTAAATTATACGTCACAAAAAATACATTTATTTAATTATAACTATTTACTAAATGTAGCTTAAGCGTGGCACAAAACTGAAAGTATGGAGCACCCAGTGAGGACCAAACTCAATAATCAGACATAATCGATTTAATGAGAAAAGCTTATTAACCTTACACCACGTCGAAGGGCCTTACAAAATTATTGTTTATTATTTCATTGAGTTTTCTGTTTTAAAATTTTGCAATGATTTGTTGTCGCTTATCAGGCAATTCTTCAATACCTTTCGCGTAAAAATCCGCAGGTTTTAATGTAAAAAAAAGTTTTCGATGAGCTCTTTTACCTGGTTTTCATTAGAGAAAGTTTTCCCCATCAAAGCGTTTTGCCGCGACCGAAAAGGTAATATTCGGTTGGTGCAAGGTCAAGAAAATATGGCAGATGGGAAGCGGAACAGATCAACTGAGTTTCAATATGTTTTCCTCTGTTATTCTTGTTCTATACAATCTTTCATTTTCATGGAGAAGAACAACATTTTTCTTTTCATCCACTGTGTACGCTGACACTGTTGTGCAAAAACAAAACTATTTTAGAAATTACTCCAAATCTATTTTTAACTGCTGCATATGATTATTAGTTAGGATGATACAGTCGTCATGACAATTGGTTCCTGAAAACGGAAATTACTTTTGACTTAACCTAATAAACATAGAATTTGCTATGTATTTATGACAGGTGCATGGTAAAGTGGTTAGAAAATTAGCATTCCGGCCAATGAGACCCGGGTTCAAATCTCACCAGACAGCGCTTCGATAAATTTTAAGTAAATTTCCGCTGATTTTGATGTGAATAGGTTTTCGGCAAAATCCAGAGTTTTCATTACAGAAAGTTTTTCCCGATCAGAGTGTTTCCCATCGATCGAAAAATGTAATAATCGATTGGTGGAAAGTCAGGTGAATATGATGGATGGGGCAGAACAGACCAACTGATTTCCAATTTTTTTTTTTTCAGTATTATTCTTGCAGGGTAAAGCTTTGCGTGGTCATGGAAGACAACATCATTTTCCTCTTGGTAAGCGCGATGCGCTTTTCAATCAAACTTTTATGGACACGTTGCAGCTGCTGGATGTATAAATGTACATTTAGTGTTTCACTGCGTTTTAAGAACTTTAAATGTATAATTACCGGACGACTCCACCACACACAACCTTCCCTGTTATTTTCACTGTTTTGTGGTTTCGCCTTGTTTTTAAATATATCTTTTTAATGGCCAAAGAAGAATTAAAAAAATTGTTCTATATGGTTGATTTTGCTATTATCATTTATATATATATATTTCTTGTAATAAACGCAGTTGCAGAACCTGAAAGGATGGAAAATTAAGCGAGATTTCCTTGAAACTACTTCATTACCAAGCTTCACATTCGAGTACGTCATCAACCGTGATTTCACCCTCGATGCACAACAAAATATCAAGGTACGACATCAGTTAAATTATTTTAAATTATTATTATTATTATTATTATTATATGTGGTATTCTTTTGCTAGAGAATAATGTTAAGTGCCTAATTACCAAACCCACTTAAGGGTTTATGAGTAAAAAGTGCACTGTAGAAAAGTTATCTATGCACATTGGGTATGTTTCCTTTAGAGTGTGAGGATTTTGTAGATGATATGTGCACTTCTGTACAAAGTAATCTTTTGTAGCTCTGAGATGCTGATGTGTCCAGGAATTGTACTCACATGATTTTCGGTGCTCCTCTTTATTAATATTCAATAATGCCCTGATCACAACAGGGATAATCGTTAACAGAGATCTATTCAAAAGATCGTCTTCTTTTACGAAAACATATCACCCTTTTACGTCTTGCTACCTTTCTGCAAAGGTTTCGTTTCATTTACTATTGTTTCTTTGGAATATAAAACGCACTAATGCATAAGACGCACCCTTATTTTGAAAATAAAGTTTTGCCGAATATCCAATGAAAATTGAAATCTGATTAGATGACAAGCGACATGAATTACATTTAAGCACATTGCATATTTGAAATCCATACTCTTTTTTATAAATAACACATTCATAACATAACTAAAATATGCATGACGATTTAAATATAGTTACGCGTGTATAAGACGCAGCAAATTTTAAGACCAAATTTAGTGGTAAGAAAGTGCGTCTTCTACACGGAAACATACGGTAACAATAAATTTCATTGATTAATTTGGTTTATATTTTTACCGCAGATCTGGGCCAAGAATTTCGAAAAGGACCCCGAAATTAAAGGAAATGATATCGTTTGTACCGTTTCTGACTGGGGTCAGGTGAACAGGAACTCCCTCATCACATTGTTCGACGACAATGGCGTCGTAAGTTTTCATTGTCTTCATTTTTCTTAAATTTTATATTTACAATTCCAATAAAAGTCAGATGCCTTTTCGAAAGAATGATAAATATTACATCTTACTCGAAGTCTAGTGCCTTCAACACTTTGTGTGATATACATACATTATATATATATATATATATATATATATATATATATATATATATATATATATATATATATATATTCAGTATCCTTTGGCAGCAATTGTTCGTATAAAAAAGAATAGACATTTTATGCCTATTAAATTTATTGATCTTTGTCTAGCATGCGAAAGACATCTCGCAAACATGGCTATTTTTAAAGATTAGAATTGCCGAAATTCATAATGTCCCCAACTTTTTTACCCACAGGTATCATCAAAGATGTAAGTAAATGGAAGAAAAGAAAATATATGTCCACAGACAGCTTGTTTCGCTGTATCACAGTTTATCAGTATGGCTAGACATCCGATTGCTACAAGCCGGGATCGAACCATGACCGATTTGGCATCAGTAAAAGACTATACCACTAAGCTATCGGCGCACGCCAGCAAAAGTGAATCTTTTAACCTATTATATACTTGATGTATATAAAGGCTAAACCAGCAGCCAGAGCGCTCAATTGTGGCGAAGAGCAATGCGTTAAGCAGGAGGGGCAGTTGTTAGAAATTCACATTTTCCATAGTGCTCAATCGACAAACGTGCACACTCACGTCGATTTCGACGTCTGAGGATCCGACAACCTCATTCAGTTTTTATGTTTGTGTCGTATGTGATACTTCAGTCCTGCTAGTGTCCGGCATACAAGTCCACATATTGGGCAACAACAAGGATCTCGTGACATACCCAATCGAATATTTGCTGACGCCTGTCGCCGTTGTCTTTCGTCTCTTAGCCGGTCAATACAACTGATTTCGATATTTTAGATATCACTCTAGCACAAATATCTCCAGTTATTTCTATCCAGGGCAATTCTCTCGAAGTTAGTATGAGACACATTGACAGCTGAGAGGTTACTCTTTAGCTTGTCTTTACACCTTACTCACGGACGTCCAACAGTCCTTTGTCCACTGTCTAGCTGGTTTCACATGAGAATTTTATGTATTCTGTAGGCTACATGACAAGCCCAGCACCAGGAAGGTTTCAATTTCATCAATGAAGATCGGCATTGAACACCTTATCCTCAAAAGTTTAGATACTGTGTAGTGTTTACATATATATATATATATATATATATATATATATATATATATATATATCATAAATGTACTACTTTTTGACCTGTCGGTGGGGCTTAGAATACGACGACAACATCTCCTGCAGACAGGTAAGGCTCCCCTCAACCCCAAAAAGAAATCCGTGTAAAGCAGACGGTGGAGTATTGGATAGCGGCTCGGATTGAAGAATCGAAGAGCGGAGTTCGAATTCCAGCCGAATATTACATTCACTTACGTGCTAATACTCTTGGGAAAGGTATGAATCCTCTTCATCGCCCTCCCAGCTATGGGTAAATAGCAGGACAGACCGGATTCTGTAGCCTTGGATGGCAACAGGTCTACCGCAGAAAGAAATGGCAACCTACTCCGGGGAAAATCTGCCTCGTCAGTCATGTATCAAAAGATACATGATCGCCTAAGCGTGTATCATGCATGGCATATAACTGATAAACCCGAGTAAAATATACATTTTTATCATTAGTACCTATATCGAACTTTTCTTCATTTTTTTTTTTACTCTGGTGTAAACTGGACGTAGGTCACTCTTCTTGACTCATCTGTAAACCGGATCTATGTCTATCTTTACCGCTCTGGAGTAAACCGGACCTATGTTTCCCTTTATCATTCTAGTATAAACCGAATTTTATGCCTCTGATTTAAACCGGACTAATATTTAACCTTTTGACTCTAATATAAACCGAACATATGTCTACCTTTTTGACTCTAGTATAAAACGGACATATGTGTAAACCTGACGTATATCTACGTATATCTACCTGTCTATTAATTCATTGTGATTTTTGTCCTGTAAGACATTTGTTATTAAATAACCCCAAAAGGGTTGATATGTCATTAAATTAATCAACATAATCTAACCTCATCTGAGCTGCTGTTCATATTCATGTAAATACACACATGACTTATCACTGTCTAATATATCTTTGTTTTTTTCTGTTTCTTTCCACAGGAAAAGGCCACCCTCAGCGTCAAGGTTAACCTCTAAATGAGTATCTCCCTACTGGCAACATCGCCCCCAAATACATAAAAAGGCCCCTAAATTCGCTAGCGGCAGAGCACCATTAGTTTAAGCTTCTTTGCATGCCGTGCGTCTGCCCCCCACAAGCCCCCCACCCCAACAACTATTTCCTCCTCCCACCCCACAAAAGACATCTGTAGGCCAATGTCCTCTTTCCTTTGAACTTAGCCTTAAAAAGCCAGTTTTTTTTTTAATGGCATTTCAATACTTCATGCCTTGCTTATCTAATCTCACATATCACTCTCTATCTCTCTGTCTCTTTCTACCAGGCGTGGGACCTAGACTATTTCGCTGTAGTCATACCTTTTATTTCGGTGGGTGTAGGTCCTGGAAGCCTACATTATTTGATTAAAACTACATCTCCACCAGGGTTTTAGTGTATCTTTTTTAATGTTTTTAAATATATTTTTTAAAAAAATGGTATGAAATAATAATACTTAACAATAACGATGATAATGACAGTAAAATTACAATCGATTACAATTCGTAAGTTAAGAGTTAAATAACCAAAGTAAAAAGAAAGTTTTTATAAAATTACGAAAAACCTACCGAAAGAACAATTGGAGCTTGGGTGTTTTATTACTCTTTCTAACATTCGTATGGTTTATAATGAAAAATTTCTTCCTGTTATATTTTTAAAACATCTTTAGTGAAGAAAAAAATCCCTCCCTACGAAAAAAAAGCCAAAAAATAAAAACCAAAAAATGAATATTTGTTTTAAGTAAAAAAAAAAAAAAAATACTAAAATATGGATAAAAATAAAAGTTTTATCTCGATTTCAAAGTTTTTGTTTTACTCTTATTTTATAAAAAATTATTATTAATAAAACCAATAAAAAAAAACTGTCGAATGTAATGGCCTTAACCACATTTGTATGCATGCGTGTGGATGTCGAAATCGATGGCGGGCGCTTTTCCCATAGATGCAAAGAGGAGAAAGAAATGATAAATGGTGAACTGGATCTGTTGACGCTCTTAAAAAGTGTCCTATCGACCTGCCCGCTATTGGATGTTATCTATTGGCGCAATAGGCATGAAACAAGGTTTACTTGAGAAATCCTAAGATTTTCACCAAGTCTGCAATTGTAGGGGAAAAGGCAGAGGTAATTTCATTCATTCAAAATCCAATTGGACCAATAAAAAGAAGAGAATCTGATGAAACTTCTGTGACGTGATCATCAGGTAGATAATATATTTAAAAGACCGATTATTTAGTGAACTTTTTTTCCGATAAAGATATTTGGTTATGTTGTGTTGATTCATCTGAACACGAACAGCTCGATGGATACCGTCAGTAAATTTACATTTTTCTCAAATACTTAAGAAAGAAACGGAATAATAATAATAATAATAATAATAATAATAATAATAATAATAATAATATCCGAACTGAGAAATAGTTATTATTATCGTTGTTGTTGTTGTTGGTGGTGGTATGTTTGCGTGAGTGTGTGTGCTTTATTTTTTTTCTCTTTTTTTTTTGGTGGGATGTGAATCTATTAAAAAGAAAATAAGACCTGATTTAACAAGAGATAATAATTTTGAAAAAATATTCAGAGGTAAATACGTGATGTAAATTCATTTTATTTTATATGTGTCACAGTCTGAGTTCAAAGGATATTTTCGTTATACAATCAAGCTTTTAAAAATAGCTGGAGTTTGTGCTTCAGAATTAATCATACAAAATTATTAATGACAACAAAGCAATACTTATATAAGTACCAACAAATCAATATTAATATTTGGAAGACACTTTATACATGTCAGTGTTTATATATATATATATATATATATATATATATATATATATATATATATATATATATGATTGTTTGTTTTGTTAGCCGTCTTAAAGTATTACTTTAACAATATCTAAATATATTGAGTCAAGGTGTTACACCCACTGCTTTTTTGCTGTTAGGGTCACACATCTTTTGGAGACGAAGTTCTTTTTTCTCTCCTTCTCTTCTGCCATCTTTAACTTTAAACATTTTCTTTTTTTTTTTCTGGCAAAGACGATTTACAGTTAATGAAATTTTGTTCGCCCACACCGATTGTAGGATTTTCCATTGACGTCTTGGCGAAAATCAAGCGGACTCGTGCACGTTAAGAAACCATATTGTAATTTGTCGTTTAAGTATGAGTCTCTCGTGTATTATAACACATGGGATGCATTGGGTTCGTGCTCGTAAGAGTTCAGCGTGCCGGATGATAATGGGAGACTTTACCGATCGAATCTATGTATATTGTAAATGGGTGTACTTCACTCTATAGACAAAAACATTGCAGGATTTTAACGAGTCTTCTGTGCAGGTTTTTGAGACAAAGCATTAGTCAGGACAGAATGAAATAAAAGGTAAAATGTCATGGCCAGGGACAAAGGGGAAAGAAAGAAAGAAAGAAAGAAAGAAAGAAAGAAAGAAAGAAAGAAACCATCTACGTTGAAAGCCCAGCCACTACCAAATGCTTTGTTTGGTGACTTATAAGTCATTATTGCTATCAGACAGGAAGTATCACAATATCGTATATCTCAATTCAAGATTTTTTTTCTTAATGAATTTTTGGAGTTGTTGTTGACCAGCCAACCATTCGGTGCGCCTGCTTATGTTGGCGGGACATCTGTTTGGAAAGATGACCAAAATAGAACACCTCGTCGTAACGATACCCCTAGTGACACAAAGTATATGTGAAGTGTATATCAAAGCTATATATCTTCCAATCGTTGGAAACTCATATATATTCTCTGGAAATAAGTGTCAATGGTTAGGTAAAACCGATACAAGAATACTGTCTGTGATAAAAATCACGTTGAGCAGCCGTCAAATTTAGCCTCACTTTGGTCTATGATCTGAAATAAAAAAAACAAAATGTCTGAAATCTATCAGGAACCACTCAGCCCTTCATCCTAACTAGACCAACAAAGGAAAAGCGGTTCATTTATTCGAGATAAGAAAAACACCCATTCCTGGTCTTGAAAGAGATTTTTCAGGCAATCTTCAGTGAAAGTTAAAATGTATTTTAACAAGCCTGTGTGATATATGGGACCGCTCAGATTTGCCTGAAATCATCATGTAGTCTTCGAAGTGAATCTAAATCGAGAATGATATGATGGGATGATTCCGGGTGTAGGTTATTGCTAGTAAGCAACGAAAGTATATGTTTCTTGCTCAAGTATTCAAACAAACATAAAAAAGGCCATCCAGCACAAACACAGGAGAGTCGGGTGCGATGTCATCTCTCTGGTCAAATTATAATATTTTTTCTCTTTTCTCCTATTCAGCATACAGAAGGCGCTTCCGCCTTTGGAAGTTTCCTTCTTCCTGGTTGGTTGCTATGCAAACTGCTTTCATCAAAATCTAAATTTTGCTAAACAGATCTTTTTTAATTATAAAATGAAAAAAAAAAAAAAAAGAAATCTCGTTTATCTCTTGGCTTCTCGCGTCGCTGAGAATTCGTCACGAGATTTGATCGCGTGGGGCCTTTTTTTCTGCCTTCTACTTTGCTACGTCAATTGACAGAAACAAAACGCATAGACTTTTCCCGCTTTTTTTTCTTCTTTTTAGCTTCGCCTGTCACTTGTGGATCATCTGCTTTCTCTCCGAGTCCATGAAACAAAAACAAAAAAATAAAAATTCATTTCTCATGACAAAAAAGGATTTCAACAAATCCAAGTTGTTTTTTTTTTATCTGATCATATAAATGGGAAAAATGTAAAAAAAAAAATAATTTTCAAATTAAATAAATATATATCTAAAAAAGATGTAAAGTTCGGGTGAATAAATTTCTTTTTTTCCAAATTCGTTCAATGTTTGTGTATATTCTGTTATTTTAATTTTACCTGTTTCAAAAAGGTGGAGAGCAAAAAACAACGATATATATATATATATATATATATATATATATATGTGTGTGTGTGTGTGTGTGTGTGTGTGTGTGTGTGTGTGTGTGTGTGTGTGTGTGTGTATTATTATAAACATTGCATTTCGTGACTACTGTTCCCTGTTCATTGTTAATTATATTCTACTGGCATGGACAATTGAAAGTATTACTAAAGAAAACCAATCTCTCAGTAGGGATCGAATCTTCTATTTCCTAACAATTAAGAAAACCACCTTCAAGCTAGATAAGGTTGATATATCCTTTTAAGAAATGCAAATATTTCATCATGACGTTACGAAACCTATAATAGCTGACTTTATTCTCTTTAATAAGACTTTCAATTGCTCAGGCCGGTAGAGGTTAATCGCCATGTTTTATTTTTTAAAAAAAGTAGCTGTAGCCACTGAATATAACGTAATAATAATAATAATAATAAATAATAATGTCGGTTTAAAAAATTTACGAATTTCTTAAAATATGAGTAAAAAAATAGACATGCGTTGCCTGTTATATTTATATATGCTTGCATATATATATATATATATATATATATATATATATATATATATACAGAGTGCGATGAGTAAATAGTCGACATTTGATATTTTTAATTTCGCGCATGTGCGTTGATTGTTCTTGATTTTGTCGTCTGCACAATATAGTAGGGTCGTCTATGAGAAAAAGAGCAACCATGACGCAATTCACTCCCTCAGAAATTTGGAAACGGCATGCTATACTGCTTGGCATTCACGCCGGAAGCTCCAATACGAACATTTCAGGGTGTTTGGGCGTCAATCTGAGGACATTGCAGAGGATTTAGAAAGAGTTGGATGAGTCTAATGGTGATTACGAAGGTACTGCAGCACGGAAAACTCACTCTGATCGTTCTTATAAGAAAAGTACTCTCGAATTAGTTGGTCAGGGCCTCAGACTTAACTTAGGCCTACATCAAGTGCCTCAAGGGGGTAGTGCTCTTCTGGGTCCAGAGGGTGGCTGCTGGAAGATCCTATGTCTGGTAACAGGACTATGCTACACAAGCAGGAGAAGCCAGTCATGGCTGTCAGATAATTTCTGCGGCCACATTAACCG